AGAGAGAGAGAGAGAGAGAGAGAGAGAGAGAGAGAGAGAGAGAGAGAGAGAGAGAGAGAGAAAATGAAACCAATATACTTATTCCTTCTACAAAGGAGATGAGTTCTAAATATTCTAACATTCAGACGATTTTGAAATCTAACACCATTTACCTAGAACACCAATAAACCATATACTCTTTAAAAAAAATACACACAGAATTAATAACAATTCACAACCATCTTTTCCACCTAAATTAAGGATCAAGGGAAACCGGGCAACCACGCCCATCATCCTGAGACACGACGGGAAGTTGAGTCTGACCGAGCTTGGTGTAAACAAACCTAGCGGAAACTACTACCTTTTAAGATACACAAAAATATTCCTAAAGAAAACGAAACTAATAGAAATAATATAAAGAAAAGAAAGAAGAAAGAAAATAGATCCCGTGGATATAGACTAGACAATAGTCTAAAACCCAATAAAAGAAGAAAGAAGAAGAAGAAACCCAGCGGAAGGCTTTGTCTCCGCGCTGATATGTCATTGCATTAGGATTCTTCACTTGATTCGATGTTGATATCAATGCCAGTAGATATAAACAATCTTGCAGATGGATGGCTTGAACTTGAAAGTGACCCAGGTGAGTGTGAGTCAGAAAGAACATGTTAATGCGGGAATGTGTATTGAAAATTGACCTGTCAGCCCAAAACGCTTTTTTTTCGTGGTAGTGAAGATATGTAGGCCCTGTAAATTATAAACTTTTTATTTCATTTTTTTGAGGGTTGATTTAGGTTTAAATCAGTATTAGGGTTTTAGCTGTGGAGTTTATGATTTCATCTCGCTGATATTAATTGATGTGTATATGTTACCTCTGTCATAACTATCAAAAGAATAGATCATTTTTGTTCTTTATGGATTTTCAGGTAAATTTTACTAACTACAGTGTATATTTTGACAATAAAGACATTTGATGAAGTCCTCCTTTGGCTAAACTATATGAAAAGACTTTTGATTCGAAATTTGAAAATTATAGTCTTATATCAGTGAAAAACTGAAGTCATTGATATTATTGACAAATATAAACCTCATAAACTGCCACATGCCTCTCATAATGACTTACCTGGTCCTTGGTGCATTTAGTATATGACAATACTACTGATCATTGTCCCTCTTAGAAATGTTCTGTAATTGCATATTGTGCCAAAATGTATATTTGAAAAAGATATATTTTCCTTTGCTATGTTATCTGTTATCTATTATTATTTACATTTGTACTAGTGATCTTTACAAGTTTCAGAAGAGTAATTTGTTCACACACAAACACACACTCACACTAATACTAACACTAACATTAACACTTGTACTCATATTCACCCACACTCACTTGCACACACACACACTCACACTCACACACATGCACACACACATGCACACTCACATGCACACTCACATGCACACTCACATGCACACTCACATGCACACTCACATGCACACTCACACTCACACTCATACACATACACACACACATACACACACACACATACACACTCACACACATACACACTCACACACATACACACTCACACACATACACACTCACACACATACACACTCACACTCTCACACTCACACACATACACACTCACACACATACACACACTCGCACTCACACACATACACACACTCGCACTCACACACATACACACACTCGCACTCACACACATACACACTCACACTCGCACTCACACACATACACACTCACACTCGCACTCACACACATACACATACACATACACATACACATACACATACACATACACATACACATAGAGTGATTTAGAGCTGCTGTGCACATTCTGTATACCTTTTTTTCCCATCAGTTCAAGGAATGGGTATTTAGAAGGGCAAAATACAATGATATGAATTTCTGGTGATGTTTTGGTACATAAAACTATCATTATCTCCAAAAATCCATTATTTAGATAATGATGTAGATATCATTTTCATTGTCACTGTCATTTAGAATATACCTTACAGTCAACTTGAAGTAAATACTGAAGCTAGAATAATAATCTTCCAACCCCCACTTAAAATAGTGCATTTATGAATACAGGCTTATAGTAGAGAGTACATGTATGTATTCATCTGATGTCAGAGCTTAGATTCAGTTTGCATGTATCCATGCACCATGGTATCAACAGGATAATAAGGAACCAGCC